AGGTATGGTTCACTTTAAGTTACTCACAGCCCTCATGCGGGTCTTGATGCGAGGTAAAGCTCGAGCAAACGTGCCCACGTGTACCATCTTGCACACTAGATCAGCACCCTGCACAATGCAAAGTGCTAGCTCACTGAAGTATGTCAGGTTATGTCAGGCATGCAATTCCAGAATGTCCAACACATCCGCTACTTCACCGCATAGAAAACCAGCACTCGGCCTCCGGGTTTGGAGCCGAACTGGGCGTGGTTCGCTCCCGCCACCTCGCAGCTTTAGCCGAAGTACCCGCAGTCTCCTCTAGCCATACAATGCCATGTTGTTCAGGAGCTGAATTCTGAGTTCAACTGTTAGGCTGCACCTGCAAAATCTGCATGGCGAGCTGAAGTCCGCAAAGGCTTCTGAGTTTGACACCGCAGCTGCTCCCACGCACGCAAACAGGAAGCAAGGAGTGCACCTCAGGCCAAGCAGCAAGAAATTCAGGATCAAGCGCTGCAAGCCCTGAGGCACTGAGGGACCAACTGTAAAAGTCTGACTTGGAAAGGAGGTTGGCAAGCCCATAGCAGGCCTCTAAGCTGAAGGCACGTTTTGGAGTTTTCATAACAAAAGAACTTCTTTTTGAAGCCTCTTCGCGCTTCAGCCCAGCTGCCAGTCTGGTCCTTCAGAACTCAAAGGCAAGTGCTCCGCAAGTGCTCCGCACTTGATGGGAAAGCCGGGCTCCGAACAGCTTCTGCTCCTCCACTGCCTTGCTTGTACAATGCAGGTACTAGGTAGCTGGCAAATCGTTCGACGAGCAGGAAAAGAGCAAAGCAGCCATTGACTGCCTGTACAGATATTATGTGCAACTGGACTAGAACCCTGTTGCAACACGGGCTACACCGCTGCTGTAGCCATTCTCTCCAGGCATGAGCTCAGAAAAGCTGCATCAAGTTGCTTCCCCAGTCATGTTGCGAGAAAGATTATTGAACGCTTTGTAAGGCTCCAGGCCAAGCGCCAGAAGTTCAACCTGAGAATGGCTGGCCCTGCACACGAGTCAGAGAGCGCGAGCTCTGCTATAAGCTGCCGGATACTCAGGATTCTACAACAGAATTATGACGGAACCTAATCTGCTTTAGTCTACAGCTCACTCAAGCTGCGCAGGACCGGGACGTCCCCAAGTGATCTGTCCGTTGGCCATGAAGGTAAGGCACGGAATGAGATGACAAGGGTTTCCAGGGGCGTGACAGGCGAGAAAGCCCACGAAGCCAGTCTGCGGCCGCCAAGTGCTGCGCCTTCTTTCGACCCGACATCTTGACATTGATAGCTGCAACAATCCTGCGACGCATTGCGACCCATGCGAAAGGCAGCTTCACACCTGGGACTCTTGCGGATAGCAGTTGCATGGCACGATGTAGTTGTCTTTGCTGTAGCTTCAGAAGCTTCTGCCATCCCAGTCTTGTCCTGTGAAGGAGTGGGAAGAGCAGGCAATGAGAATCCATTTTACATTAGAGTCTTGGCAAGAATACTCACCTTACCTGCAGCCCTTGCTAAAGCACAGTCCTCTCCATTGCCAAGGACCTCAAACCGTGCCAGCATCCAGGCATAAGCGGTTCCAGGTCTCCCAGGCCCGGACCAAACTAGGAAAACAAGTTCTGCAAAACTCCTGTCTTCGCAGCCTTAATGCAGTTCACACTTTGAACAAGCCAGAAAACATATAGGATCATAAAGGCTAAAGTGCATTGTAACATCCTGTCACATTTGGCATTGCGGCATCGCCATGGCATTGCATCATGGTTAGCTCCAAGCGGTAGTGGAGGCTCCAAAAACATTGGATGTACCCAACAGCCTCCGAAAGCAACAGTTGGGACAACAACCGGCACATTCGACACCATCAGGCAGCCTTGCGCCGCCGCTTGCATGCAGTGGCCTTACAGGAACACATAGGCTGGGAGTTGGGAAAGGCTCCTATTCAGCCTTGCACAACCCTGAGCTTCCAGGCCACCTCATGCCAAAAGCGAAAGAGAGCACGGAGCTTTGCTGCATCCGACTCACGCAGCATCGAGGCAAACAGGCAGTCCCTGGCTGCAGCTTCGATTCCAAGATCTTGCTCTGGGACTGCGCACTCATCAGGCAAGTGCAGTCACTTGCAAAAACTCCCGTCGTTGCCTTCGGCGACCGGCGTGTTTTGCATGCCCTCAGGCAAGTGCAGTACAACGTTTGTCACCAGAATGGACGGGCCAACCGCAAGGATATAAGCACGTCTTAGCAAAATGCTCTGGCTTGGAACCTCAGAAACTGTGCACCAAGAGGCGGCTGACAAATGCGCACTGCTTCCATCTTTGCCAGGTTCGAACCCTGTGCAGACGTTGCTAGTCTTAGAACCCAGCAACAAAGTTCGGCTCAGCAGCAGCAGGAGCAGCAGCAGCGGCAGCAGCTATGATGACTATGAGTCAGGTATGGGCAAGCGGCCAACAGAGCTTTTTAGTCGGTTTGCAACAGTCTGCAACAAGCTGCAAGACTGTAAGTTGGCATCGCGCAGCCTGAGGACATGTCTTCGTCCTCGACTCAGCCGATCTTCCAACCGCTCCATGTAAAGGATCTTTGCCTGCCATCACGGGAGATGACTGCTGCCTGCTGGAAGCCATGTTCATATTCCTGAGTCGAGATCTTAGCCGGTGAACGAGGCGATTTCTAGTTACCCTACGTGAGCACTACAGCAAATCGGTGCCCGCCTGCACTCGCAGTCTGGAAGCATCTTGAAGTGCTGTCTGGCACAAAGGCTGGAGTCGTCTACTGATTCTACTGGGAAACACATTGCGGAGCCCGTCCTGGCTACTCTGCCGCAGTACCAGCAAGTCTTTGTCAATTGTTGCTCCCACTCGCTCCTCGAGATGGTGGGTACAGTGTGAAAAAGTACCAGCTGAAAACTGGATTGGTTGTGTCTCGGCATCTGGCATGACGAGCAACAGCCACTGCCAAGCGCCAGCAGTGCCAGCATCGGAGCTTGTTGTCTGCTCTGCCTTTGCACTTCTGCGCATCTTGAGGCTGATGGCTCAAATGTCTGCCCAGGCCAAGTGTAAAACTGATGTCAACCTGAAACGAGTACGCGACCTGCAACAAAGTCCATATCTCTACAAGGGGCAAGTGGTCAGTTGCGAGAGCCTGCGTCCACAGCGCACGCTCTCGCCAGGCCTAGACCCGAAGCCCAGCTGAGGCGCTCTGTTTGGCACCATTTGTTCCCGATCGTAGATTAGTGATTAGTGGTTCTTCATCCTCTACTCCCACAAATTGTAATGTAAGCTGCATCCACCTTTACAGGCCACAGGGCTTCAAACTGCAGGAAATGCTGAGGCAGAGACACTCCACGCTGCCCTGAGCCACAAGAGCTGTTCGTCACGGTGCCGCCTCCTGGCATTACTGTACCCTTCCGCTAAGAAGCTGTCTTCTCCATCCCGTGATATATGACTGCGAGGCGCACAGCTGCGTCAAAGCATGTGAGCAGTTCAGCAGCAAGCATATGCATGCTGAAGCATGCATGAGCAGTAAGCATGCCTGCATCACAGCATTTGCCCAAGCTGGGCCTGGCGATTGGAGTCTGATTGGAAGTTCCTGCTCTTGTCTGGAAGGCTCGTGATGCTCATATATGCTCATGCAGCAGTTCCGTCAACCCTTTCGCTCCTGCACCGGCTCCTGCACCGTGGCAAATCTTGGCTCCGACTTCCTCTGCACATCTCAGAGTCTCATGGATTCGTCAATCTTGCTTTCACGCTTCGAAACGTGGCCAACCAGAGCCTTCACGTTCGGCAGCCTCCCGCATCCCATAGTTCTAGTAGCTGCTGCAAGCACTGCAAGCTCGGATCTGACCACTTCGAAGCCTTTTCCTGCAGCTGATTGCTCAACGCAGCATCGAAGCCTCAGCCCGGAAGTGGCCCTCTTGGAAACAAGTGCATTACAACATGTTGGACACCACGGTAAGATGTGGGCTTGACACCACTGCAGCCCCAATTCGAAGCCTCGAAAAAAGGCAAAAAGACTCAAACCTATCCAACCTCAAATTCGTTGGTTGCCCCACCTTTGGATTTCAGAAAAGAGCTGCACGGCACCGGTAGCCTGGCTGCAACGCAATTCGATGAATTCACGAATTCGCTCTGCCATGACCTTTTCTAGATAAACTGTGGTCGAGATTTGCATGGTCCAGTTGCCCGAGTTGTCTTTGCTAAGACCTATAGGTCATTGCACAGCAAGTCTGAGGCTAGACTGTTGCATGGGGTCCGCGGAAGCAAATTCAGGCCCTCAATATCCTCAAATGAACGGGCTGATTCGGCCTCTGCATCGATCATGTCCTGCTGAGGCTGAGAAGCAGGGATTGATCATCCTGACGCTTCCTCACCCTACCCGGCCTCATGCGGATGCTGTGCTGAGTGGCGGAATGTGGCGGATGCGAGGGCAACCCAGCCCTACCCTTTGCATCCGCAACATCTGCCAAAACATCTGAATGCAACCTAGGCCCAAGAGCTTAACAGATTCTATGGCACTGTTGGAAGTGATTGCGGAGCATGTCCGCAGGGCTAGGGCTGTGATGTGAGATTCCTTTTCATTGTAAATGTTTTACTTTAATTTACTTCTGAATGTGAACATCGTTCTCTGGGCCAAATACAGGGCACCGGATCTCAGCGAAGTTTCTGCAAAACTTGCTGTCGCTAGCATGTTTGGCCATGTCAGGCTGAGGTTCAAGGCAACCTAGATCACGGCGAGAAGCACTCGTACTATGCATTTGACCCCTGGAAGCGTTTGCTGAGAGAAATGGGACTTTGCCTCTCAATCACCTCTTGTCTCTTGTTACCTTCACACTGCCACAACAGCAAGAAGATCACAGGGTGCTCTGATGCAGGGTGAAACGCGTTAACCAGCGCAAGCTGATGCCCTACGCAGTCTTTGCCATGAGCATCGCCTTACACTGCACGAGCTCGTGCCAAGCAACGAGCACACCATTTACTGAGAAGAGCACTCACGCCATTGGTCGTTCAGCTCATGTCAAGGAGCCTTGAGGACGCTTGCAAGGTGACAAGAGAAAAGACTTATGAAGAGATGGGCGGACTGTAAGAACTATCAACCTAAAAGCTCCCAAGCTTTTCGAACAGAAAGCCAAGCCTCTCACAAGGCCTCACCACCCCTGGCAAAGGAGGTTGAAAACCAGGCAGACCGCCAAACCTGGACGGCCCACGGCTCTGGATCAGGATCTGTTTACGTTGCGATTCTGGGTCAGCAACCACTTCTCCAGGTAGTCAATTCGGTCTGCCAGTGAGCCGGTGGCTGCCTGGTGTGCCTATCAAAAAGTGGCGCTTTTTGTGACGGCTTTGTCTTGGAGCTCATCCGCTTGCGCCTCGTGCCTCTGCTCCAGCTCAGCCTGACACTCTCTCAGGAACTTTCATGCCAGGTCACTCGATTCTGAGAAATCGCCATCGAAGTGAGCGCGGGAAGCAGCGGTGAATCTGAACCAAATCTTAGTTCAACTGGCCTTAGCTGCCCGCAGCTGGCCAGTATGATGCTGGGCCGAATCTCCTGGCTGCATCTGGCTGAACACCTAATGGCCAACATTGTCAAGATCGAACTCCGTGCCTAGAGCGCGCTCCAAGAAGTCGAGGCGCTGCTCAAAAGAGGCGTGTCGCTCAACAGCTGCCTGCATCCGACACACACAGCGCTGCCTTGTTGACTCTCAGAGCACATGCATAGCTGATCGCAAGTGATTCATCTCGGAGCATATGAGCTTCTGAACATGTGCAGTGGTCAACGTGTGTGAGCCTGTTGGTTTTGAGCCTGTTTCCTGTGCTCATCAAACGCCTGTTGGTGATTCGAAAGACTCCTCTTGTGATCTTCCAGATCTCTCTTGTGAGCTTCCAGCTTTCTGGCATGCTCATCTGCGGAATCACCAATGAGTTTCTCCATGTAACTCACCTTCTCCTGCGGCAAGATGCTACTGCTCACATGACCACTATTAATCTGCGCCGGCTTAGATAAAGGCACACGACATGTAGCTCTGCTCCTTGAGTGAAGCATGCTGCTGTTCTCGGCTGTCTTTATGCGCCCTGAGCTCTCGGGAGTGCTTCTCAGCTGAATCCCCAAGCGATTGCTCCACAAAGCGCATCCGCTCTTCCAGCGTTGCATGATGCTGGTCCCGGCTTTCTCGGTGGCCCTGCTCATCTGAGAGTTTGCCGTGCAAGGTCTCGAGTTGCAACTTGGCTTGTTTCAGCTCTGAGGCATGTCGCTCCACAGAGTCTCCAATTGACTGCTCAAGAAACTTGAGCCGCTCTTCAACTGAAGCATGCTTCTCTCTCAGCGCTTGCGTCTCGCCGCTCGTCCGCCCATGAGCTGTTCGATGATCTGAGAGCTCCCGAGAGTGCTTGTCCAGAGATTCCGACAAAAACCTCTCGAGGTTTGCCAGACGCTCCTCAAATGTGGCATGACGGCTATGCAGGGATTCCTTCTCCCGCCGAAGGGCTTCGTGCCGACTATGCGTGTCGTCATGTGAGCGACGAAGCTCCTCCAGCTGCTTGACATGCGCGGCATGCTTGTCTGCCGAGTCCCCCATCATTTTTTCAAGGTAGTCCACCCTCTGCTGAATTGTTGCATGGTGCTGCTCTTTGGCACTATGCCTGTTTTTCAGATCAGCATGCGAGTCTTTGATGGACTTCATCTCCTCCTCATGCGCCTCTGGGTCAGATTCCGAAAGAGATTCAGGCACAAACTCCACAGGCTCAATCAGATTCAATCAGGGCTTCTTTGGACAGGTCCAAGGCCTGGAGGATCATTACAACATCTTGACCGCCTCAGGGCTGCAGTCATCCTCCGGTAGCGTTCAACGTCACATCAAGAAAAGATGGCAGGCACCGCGGTGCGCGCACACTGGGCCGCAATAGCATATTGGTAGAGTGACTGGAGTGAGCCGAAGAATGAGGGATGGGGACTGGTCGGAGAGTGAGTGCGAAGCAGGGTAAGTGGCTAAACTGCAAACTGGGTGTGACTAGGTGGAAATTGGAAAAGAAGGAAAGAAGTAAGAGGGTAAGATGGTGTTTGAGTCAGGAGAGGGTGAGGAGGAGAGCATGGAAGGTGGGAAGTGGATGAAGTGACGCATGACTGCCTATCAGCTCAATTGGCGGTCTAGTCCGCCTGCTCTTTGTCAAGGTGTAAAATGACCAGGCTCTTGTATTGCAGTGCCCGATAAATGCAGGCCACCAACTGAACTGTTTCACACAACTGCACGCTTCATGCACGTCATCCCGAGACTGTGAAATGGTAGCAGGATTGATGATTGAGCGCAGCAAATGCGCACACGCAAGGATGAAAACTTCCAAGCATCTCTCCGCAGTGATGGCGGGAGCTCTGCACCCTGACTACCCAAGTTACTTCAGTAAACTCTGCTTCAGGCTGGCTATTCAATGCTGGTGATGATGATGGCTGTTGCGCAATGACAGGGGTAATGGATGCTACACATGCATATAGGAATGCAGATGCCTTCCAACAGGCGAGAAATGCTGAATGATGCACGTGATGCAGATTTATCTGGTGGCATTGATAAAGGACATAAAGCAGCGCCTGATCACATGGACTCTGGCAAAGACGTCGCTAGATATGGTTGATGGTGTATTAGTATCCGCCGACCCCGCCATGGGGGCGGCGCCCTGTGAAGCCCTACACCTTTCTGCCAGCTTCGGGTTTGCGCTCCTATGGTTTCTCCCCTCCGTCCCGGTTTGGTTCGTGCATCACTCAATCTTTCTTCTGTTTCCAAGTCCACTTGCCCCCTCTCCAGTGTCTCTCCCAACTCTTTCCGTTTTTCCTAACTACTTGCGCCTTTTTGACTGCCAGCATCGGCTTTGTGTCCAATGGCTTCTCCTCTCCGTCCCGATTTTGTTCATGCATCGCTGCTGCATCACCCAATACTTGTTATGTTTCCAACTGCATTGGCCCCCTCTCCGGAATTTCTCCCAACCATTTCGGCTTTTTCCCCCATAACTCCACTTTTTTGACTATTCAATCCTTCTCTATCCTTCTCCTGTCGTCCTGCCTCCTTACAGATGCCAAGCTGGCCCCTTTTTTGACCTGTAGGCTGAGCGCCCTGGCTCCCCTGGCTGCCCTTCCCACCCTGCCAACCGATCCCTCTCTTCCTCCTCCTCTTCTCCCCTCCCCCTGACCTTTTTCTCGCCAGACCTGCACCCGCTTGGTCTGTTTTGCGGCCAGCTTGCTCAGGCACGGAATGGTGATGTGAACTTAGCTTTAATGCGGTTGGATTTTGTGGCCCCGATCATCCCTCCTACAGTAGTCGACCTGACTCCATGCGGGTTCATTCTTACCCTGAGTTTGAGCAACAAGAGACAAGCCGGAGAGTGCGACGTTGAGGAGAAGACCTTCAAGCCTGTTCAGTCTGCTTCAGTGACGTGCCATGCTGACCGTGCACGTAGCCCCCTCGCGATGTCTCTTCAAACAACTGATGCCGTCATTTCGAGAAGCATCCCTGTGAATGCATCGGGTCGGCAACGGGGACACCTTAAATCCGGCCCTGCCGCCGTGGTCCAGGGCGGAGCCCGTCCC